GATTGGGATTCTATTAAAAAACTATTGGCTGATCCTAATTTCTTAGCAAAAATGAAAGGATTAGAGGTAGGTAAAATAAAATAAGTGACTTAAAATAAAATTAAAGCAAAAATAGCTAGTAATCCAGAATTCATACCAAATTTGGTTTAAAAAGTAAGTGTGGCTGCAAAGTCTATTTGTGAATGGGTTAGAGCTGTGAGTGAATTTACTGATGTAAATAATGATGTAGAGAAAAAGAAAAGTCAAGTAGAAGCTATGAATTAATAATTAGAGAAAGCTAATAAAATATTATTATAAAAACAATCTGAATTAGCTTAAGTAGTTAAAAAAGTAACAGAATTAGAAATACAATTCAATTAAAATAAATAAGAAAAAGATCGTCTTGATTAAGATATTTAAACAACAGAATAAAGATTAATAAGAGCTGAAGAACTTACAGTTGGATTAGCAGATGAGTAAGAAAGATGGAAAATTAAAGTTGAAAGTTTAACTGAAGAAATATAACTACTATTGGGTAATGTATTTTTGGGAGGTTCAACAGTAGCTTATTTGGGTCCATTTACTGGAACATTTAGAAATTAATTAATACAAAATTGGATGGAAAAAGCAACAGAATTAACTATTCCTTTGAGTGAGAAATATAATTTTGAATCAGTCTTAGGAGATGCTCTTGAAATTTAATAATGGGCAGCAAATGGATTACCTAATGATACAGTTTCAAAGTCAAATGGTATCATTCAAAAATACAGTAGATCTTATCCTATGTTTATTGATCCATAATTATAAGCTAATACTTGGATCAAGAATAGTTATAGAGAGCATAATTTGAAAGTTTTAAAGATTACATAAGAAGGTCTTATTAAACATATAGAAAATGCAGTTTAAACAGGAATTCCTTTGCTTTTAGAAGATGTTTAAGAATAATTGGATAACTTTTTAGAACCATTATTATTGAAATAATTTAATATAATAAATAGAAGAAAAATGATAAAGATAGGGGATAGAGAAGTTGAATTTGATCCTAATTTTAAATTATTCTTTAGTACAAAATTGGCAAATCCATAGTTTTTACCAGAGATATTTATTAGAGTAACAGTAATTAATTTTACAGTTACAGAATAAGGTTTAGAAGAATAATTACTTGGAGATGTTGTATAGATTGAAAAACCTGAAATGGAAGAAGAAAAAAAAGACTTGATTAAAAGAATTTCTACTGGTAATATGAACTTAAGAAAGAATGAAGAAAAGATTTTAAATTTATTAGCTAATTCTAAAGGAATGATTTTAGATAATGTTGATTTGATTGAAAACTTAAAGATATCAAAATAAGATGCAATATAAGTTAAAGAAAGTTTAGTAAATCAAGAATAGAAATCTGCTGAAATTGAAACTGCTAGATAATAATATTTACCAGTTGCTACAAGAGGTAGCTTGCTATATTTTGTCATTGCAGATTTCACATTGGTAGATCCAATGTATTAGTTTTCATTAAATTATTTTAAAAGACTTTATTAAAATGTGATTAGAAATTCAGAAAAAAATGATGATATAAAAATAAGAATTTCTACATTAATAGATGGCATAACTGAAACAATTTACTCAAATGTTTGTAGAGGTCTATTTAATTAACATAAGAGAATCTTTTCATTCCTAATGACTGTTAAAATATAACTAAATGCAAAATAAATTTCTTTTGGAGAATGGAATCTATTTATAAGGGGAGCAAGTTTATCAATTTAACCACCTGCTATGCCTAATACTGTTAAATTAACTCCTAAGATCTGGAATGAATTATATCAATTAACAACAGTCCATTAAAATTTTATACAAATTTACAATCAAACATTAACTAATTTCAAAGAGACTGAGTAATTAATACAATCTGATAATCCTTGGAGTTTATTAAATGAGTAATTGACTCCTTTCTAAAAATTAATGATAGTAAAAGTTTTAAGAGAAGAAGAATCTTTATATGCAATGACATATTATGTGGATGCAATCTTAGGAAAGAAATATACTTCCAATAATTAAGCATCAATTGAAGAAATTTTCAATGATACTGATCATAAAACTCCATTTATATTTATATTGAGTTAAGGTGCAGATCCATTATCTAGTTTAATAAGATTAGCTAATCAAAAGAAAATATCATCTGAAAAGCTTAGAATAATATCACTTGGTTAAGGACAAGGAATTATTGCTGAAAAAGCAATTGAAAGTGGAGTCAAGAGTGGTGATTGGGTAATTCTATAAAATTGTCATCTTGGAAAATCATTTATGCCAACTCTCGAGAAAAAATTAGAATGGTTTGAAGATCCTGAATTATAATCATAATTTAATACTGGATTTAGATTAATGTTAACAAGTATGCCTTGTGATTACTTCCCTGTTAGTGTTCTATAAAATAGTATTAAATTAACTACAGAACCTCCTAAAGGATTGAAATCTAATATGTTTAAGAGTTATACTGATTTATCATCAGAATAAGTTGAAAATTGTGAAAAAAAGGAACCCTGGAAAAAATTACTCTATTCTCTTGCATTTTTCCATGCTGTAGTATAAGAACGTCGTAAATTCGGACCTTTAGGTTGGAACATTAGATATGAGTAAGATTTTATCTAAAATTAGATTTAATGATTCTGATCTTGAAACATCATATACATTACTTAGGAATTTTCTTGATTAACCTTAAGAGATACCCTGGGATGCAATAGTGTATGTTGTAGGAGAAATCACATATGGTGGAAGAGTTACAGATGATTGGGATAGAAGATGTTTACTCACAATTTTAGCAAAATTTATAAAGTAAAATAATTATTAAATAAATTTAGTGAAGATGCATTGAATGATGGATATTCTTTTTCAGATTCAGGTGTATATAAATAACCTGCAGAAATGAATATTGATGGATATAGAAATTTGATCAATAAATTCCCTGATTTTGAAAAACCTGAAGTTTTTGGAATGAATGAAAATGCCAATATTACTTTTAAATTAACTGAATCAAAAATGGCTTTGTCCACTATTTTAAGTATTCAACCAAGAGAAAGTGCTTAAGCAAGTGACTCAGATCAAAAAGCAAAAACACCAGATGAAAATGTTTTGGAACTCTGTGATATTCTTGCCTAGAAACTTCCTTTTTAAATTAAAGAATAAGAAAAAAAGAAAAAATAAGCTGCTCCTTAACATACTTCATCTGAAATTGATTCTTTAAAGGTTTGTTTAAATTAAGAAGTTCAAAGATTTAATAAATTATTATCAGTTATTGGAAATTCAATAAAAAATTTATAAGCAGCTATTAAAGGAGAAGTAGTTATGTCAGCTGAACTTGATAAAATGTACAGCTCCTTACTCAATAATTAAGTCCCTTAAATTTGGGCTAACAAAGCTTATCCTTCTTTGAAGCCTTTGGCCTCATTTTATGATGATATGATAAAAAGAGTCAATTTCTTTAGAGATTGGTTTAATTTAGAATTTGGTTATCCAAAGGGTTATTGGATTTCTGCATTCTTTTTCCCTTAAGGTTTTCTAACTTCAGTTCTCTAAACATTTGCAAGAAAAAATTAAATTGCTATCGATATTCTTGGATTCAGTTTCAAATTCTTTAATTATGTAGATAGTGAAATGGTAATAAAGTATAAACTATTTAGATTACATCAACTCCTGATAATGGAGCTTACATTTATGGTTTATACATAGAGGGATGTAGATTTGATATAAACAAAGGAATACTAGAAGATCAATTACCTGGTTAAACTATTTATTAGGCTCCTATAATACATTTTATACCTACTTAAGACTATAAACCTAATCCAAATGAATATTCAATGCCTCTTTATAAAACAAGTATCTATTCAAATAAAATTTTAAGGTCTTAGAGCAGGAGTATTATCAACAACAGGACATTCAACTAATTTCATCAGAGCTATCGAATGCCCTACCAAGAAGAATCCTGATTATTGGATTCTTAATGGAGCTGCCTTTACAACCCAACTAAATGATTGAAATATAATTTATAATAAAATTCAAATTTTATCATATTTATGAGGAAGGCATTTATACCTTTTTTATATTCTAATATTGATATAATGATCTTTATTTAACTTATTATTATATTTTAATAAATTAGAAGTAGAGGTGGTAGTTTTCCTTTTTAATTTATTTATTCAATTATATTATAAAATAATTTAGAGTGAAATTTGGCAAATTTTGACAACATTTTAGAAAAACAAGAGTCACAATTTATCTCTATTATTTATTTAAGAAATGAATAAAATATTAACGATAAGCTTAATATTATCAATAGCCTTGTCATAAATGACCTTTGAATTGAAGAACATAGGAGTCGATTTAGATCAGTACAATATTTTAATTGAAAATTTGCCTATTACAGGATTTTGTTTCTTGAATATAAATTTGAATGAGCAAGATGAAGATTTTCCAATTGACGAAGCAGATGGATTTTAATTAAATTTCATATAGGGCTATTAGGGACTCTAAACAAATTATTTGATGCCTGGATTGTATTCTTATGAATATAGCTCTTGCCCAAACAAAATAGAAATTGAAATTGGTCCTATAAAGACATTTCATTTGAAAGCTAATATTCTTGTAAAAGTATAGTTTGAGAGTACTACTGAATAAAATACATATACATAATTAGTTTCTTATATCTAATATTCCAATACAAGTAGCATTTCATAAATAAATTAGATATAAATTTGATTACTGATTCTTAGATTACAAGTTAAGTATGCAATTTAAAAATCACTTATCAGCCAATGTTTTACTTAGATGAAGATGATTAAATTATTGTTACTTTTCCTTATAGAGATGAATATGCCATTGTTCCAAATTCAGGATACTTTAAGTATTAAACACCTGACTGTAAAGTTGAGTATGATGGAATTGTTAATGATTCGATTATGTGTTATTTCCTTTAGAATTAGCTTAAAATAACCAAAATTAGTTCTTAATCTCTTTTAACGATAATAGTTCAAGGATTTATAAATTCATAAAACTTAAAAGAGATAACAAATATTTAGTTTGAGTTAAAAAGATTTATTACATCAAAATATTACTTACTTGAAAGCTCTGTTTTAAATTATTAAATTACTTAAATAAACTAAGAAATTAATTTAATACAAATTTAAAGTGATGATCACATTAATTCTTAAAATATACTTTAAATCTAAGTAAAATATTAGGATTTTTTATATATTGATTCAATTATGATAATTACATTTCCAAATGATTTTTTCAACAATTAACCAATTATAACATTAAGTGAGAATATGAATTTAAATTTTATCTCCAATTTTGTTGATTAAACTATGACTTTATCAAATTTCATTAAGAATGAAGGGAAGTAATCTATAATAATACTGTCTATGTAAATTTAGAATCCTCTTATTTAAAAATTATACAGTGGTTTAAAAGTTAAGTTAATGTGGTAAAATTAAGGTATTGCTGAATCTATTCCTTAAAATATTTTATTAAGACCATTATCCTTCAAATTATTTAATATGGATAATTATAATAAAAATCTAATAGAATAAACAAAATATTGTTTCACAATTGAGTTTTATAAGAACTTTTATCAAAATTCTTATGTAGAGATTCAATTCTTTTCTAAAATATCTTTTGATTCTATTTTGAGTATTACAGATTCATAAAATATTAATTCTAATGCATAAATAGAAATGGAGTTTTAAAAAGTTAAAATAAAAAATATGTTCATAAATTCTGAATTTGATAAAGAAGTCTACTTTTGTTTAAATGGAATTTATAATCCATCTCATATAGATATGGAAAATGAGAGTTATACTTTCAAAATAATGTTTGACAATTATCCATAGGTTGTTAATGATCACAAATTATATATAAATCTATAGCATGGTTATTTAGAATTATAATCTTTGACATAATCTTAAGAATTAACAAATCAAAAAGAAAATTCTATAAATTTAAGCTTTAAAACTTAAACTGGATTATTGGAAAATGATGTAATTTTCTTTTATTTTGATGTTAATAATTATTTTTTGGATAACCTTTTAAGTGATAACAATGAAATTAAATGTGAAATTAATCAATAATAAACTTTCTGTTCCCTTTTTGAAAATTCAATTAAGATATAAACTTGTATGATTCATGATGCAGAATCTTAAATAAATATTAAAATAAATAATTTTATCTCTAATAGATCTCTTAATCCAATTAATAATATCAACATCAAAACCTTTCATTAAATTTATCCAATTGATATTCTACCTTATTTTCCAAATTTAAGTATATCAAAACCAAATTAATTATCTTATTTTTTTGTTGAAGAAACTAAAAATGCAGAAACAACATAAAATTCATTTTAAATATATATGCAATTTAAAATCCGTCTTAAACATACAGACTCTATTATAATTTCTCTTCCTTCAAAAATCAATTGTGTAAATTGCATTTGTTAATTTCATGATTGTTAAATTAATAATTAAAAAATTACTCTTACAAATTTGTATGACATTAATTAAATTGACTAAATTTAGATTTTGTATATTTAATACTCAGATTCATAGACATAACAATCTTAAACATAAATTCAAGTTAAAGATTAATTAGGATATTTAATATTTGAAGATTAATCTCAAATTATTACCTAAATAAATTAGTTTAAAGAATTTAATATAAGTCCTGTAAATGATTTTATTGGAATTCATTCTAATTATAATTTGCAATTTATATCAAGTATCAATTTTAATAAAAATGATAATGTTATTTTAGAATTTGACCCAGATTTTAACATTAATTCAATTCAATGTCTTGAAAATGCTTAATGTTATTAAAATTAGAATTAAATTAATATAAATTTCTCTTACTAAATTTAGAAAAACCACAATATTAGTTTAATGATATAATCTATCATTAACCCAAACTCAATAAATTCAATCTATTATTATACTCTATCTTAATATAATGAAAACCATCAATTAATTTAACAAAGTTTTATAAAATCAAATTATTTTAAATGTTAATTTGAAAATTGTATAGTTTGCTATTCTGATTATTGTTAATAATGTTAATAAGGTTATTTAAAAATATCTGGGAAATGTTTATATGATTGTCCATAAGGATATATAATTATTAATGAAAGTTGTAAGAAATGTGAAACAACAAACTATTGCTTAACTTGTTCATCAAATAACCTTGAATAATGTTTATAATGCTAAGATGGTTATTTTCTAAAAAACAATTTGTGTATTAAAAAAGACATAATATAAATAAATGATACAAATACAACATCTCCCAATTAAAATAATAGTTCATAAAATTCTACTTCTTAGAATAATTCTAATGTTTATACTAAAAATAAATTAGTAGATAACAATAATAAAAATTAATATTATTTGGGTATACTTAATTATTTAGAAGCAGGATGCTTTTGCGCATTAATTCTTTATAAATTAACAAATAAAAATTTTTAGATGTTTTTGACATCATCTATAATCTTGGGATTTTCAATTCCTATTTTTAGAGTATTTTCATTAGTTTTTTTTACTATAGAAGAATAATACATATTTTCATCATTTACTTTAATTTTACTTTTGTTAAGCTAACTCTAAAGTTTTCATTTTCAAGCTTAGGTTGAGATTCCTTTATTAACAGATGTCCAATATAAACATAATGTTTAAAAATAAAATTACTTTTATCTTAATGATTTATTGTTTAAATTCTTAGATTTTAGAATAATTTGTATACTTAAAAGTAAATTAGCAAAATCAAATTTATTTAATTTTTCATTTAAATATAATGAAGAAATTAACATTGCTCTTATTATGAATTACAAGCGGTTAATCATATTATAAAATCCTTTATAAATTACATTGCTTTTAACGGCCATTATTATAAATAACACTAATAAGTAAAATTTATTTTTAATTATTTAGCTATTAATTTGAATTTTTGATATATTCTTCAATTGAATGGGTTGCCAACACTATTATATTTTATTAATTAAAGAAAAATAAATTCTGAAGTTTAATTGATTAAAATTGAGTACTTATGTAATTTATTATATTGAATTAATGACTATTCTTATCAATTTTAATGTTTGATTGATAAATTTCCTCATTATTATTATTAAAATTATTGATTAAGATTTAGTAATAAAGTTAAATAAGTTAGTTTAAGTCATATTCTTAAATAGAATTGAGTACCATTACACAATTTAAGTTAATAAAACCTTTTTTAAACGGATAAGCTAATAGAAAATGTTTAAAGTTTTTAGAATAATTATATATTGATATAAATATAAGAAGATTTTAAATATTATTTTATTATGATTTACGATCAACCAGAACATTTTGGTCTATTCGAAAAAACAGTCACTGCTAAAGAGAAAGAAGAAGTCAAATAATTCTTGAAATACGATAGACATGTTCCTTTAAAATTGACTGAGTAAGTTTTTCATGCAGAAGCGTATTTATTTTATTCTCTACAATTAGAGATGCATCAAGATTTGAAAGATTAGGATAAGTTGGAGGTGCAGTGTATTCATTCTCATTCTTTTTCTTTCCTATAATAAAAGGTTTACCAATCAAATAGAGATTGTTTTGGGCTGCTGTTCCTGGAGGTATTGTTGCATGGTTAGGATGGAGAATTAAAGAAGAATTAGAATGGAATAGAGTTTATAATTGCTATTAGAAATATTAAGTAGCTCATTCTATGCATAAGAAAGTGTTTATTTGAGAAATATAGCTGGCACAAAATATAAATATATATAACATATCTAAATTCAATAATTAATTTATCATGTTTTTTGAGTTAGACGACATCAGAAGAAGACATTCCTTGTATTTTGATTGTTATAATGCTGGTGTATGGACAGATGCTCCAGAAAAGTAAATGGTAATTTGAATAAATTAGTTCATTGAGATGGAATTATACTAGAGGAGCAATATCAGGATTATTAGGTAGTGTTATTGGTGAAACATGGCATAATTTTTATGAGAATTGGAAATTATTGTATAAAATCTATATAAGTTTAAGGTTA